GGGGGGTTAAGGGATGGGATGGGATGTGATGTGCTTGGATAGATCATAGGGGGTGGTTGATGCGAGTGGTAGAGTAGAGGGGGGAAGGGGGGGAAGGGGGGGGGGGGAGGAGGGGGGGAGGAGGGGAGTCGGGCCCGAGGGGAGGGATCTGGTCCTAGGGGGTTTGGATTGGATTGGAGTAGGGGTACGGGAGAGTGTGTGTTGGATCCCTGAAACAGATGTGGTTTCTTTTGTTCCATGAGGGGACAGGAAGAGTTCAGCTGGGTAATACAGTTCCTGATGAGGGGAAGCAGAAGGCAGGGCTGAACACGACAAGGAGGCGGGAGTGGGGGGGGGGGGCGGGGGGGGACTTATGGTTGAGGATGTTGTTCATGGACGTGGTGCTGGTATTGGTTATGTATGGTGCTGGTGCTGGTGCTGGTTGTCGTCATGGTGTTGGTTGTCGTCATGGTGCTGGTGCTGGTTGCTCGTCGCTTTCATCTCTCTCGTCACGCTTGATACCATGTCGCTTAACCCGCCACACAGGATGGCAGCGCCAACTGGCCTGCTTTGGGTCGTGGCAGTGGCGGCAACGCTCGTCATGGGCAGCGCGGCTGCCGCCACAACAGACGTCATCATACCAGACATTCCGCAGTGTGTGAGTGAGAGGTTCGTCGCGAGCAAGGTCGTTGAAGCTGTTCATCGCGGGCTCGCCACTGTGCTGGCAGGCGACATCGATGGCGACGGATGGGACGACCTGGTCCTCACCGCCCCTGCCGCAAATGCCATTTTCTGGCAACAGTTCAACACTTTGTCGCTCTCCTTTGGCTCGCAAAGGCTCATCTCGAGCGAAATCAAGGACCCGGGCGCCATGGTTCTGGTTGACATCGACGGCGACTCGGACTTGGACATCGTCGTCGGCTCACCGCAGCTAGACGTCATCGTCTGGCTCCGCAACTCACAGTCTGGCGGCGAGATGAAGATCGCAGCACCAGTCACCAGCGATGCTCGCGACGTCAGCGCTCTCGTCGCTGGAGACGTCGACGGCGACGGTGACTCTGACGTCGTCTGGTGCTCTGATGCCGCCACAGGCACGGCGTTTCTCGCTTGGCATGTCAACGAAGACGGCCTCGGCCGCTTTGGCCGCATGATTGCCCTTTCGACGTCCTGGGTGACCGGCTCCGCCGTCGGTCTGGGCGACGTTGATGGCGATGGTGACCTTGACGTCGTCGCTGCTTCAAAGTTTCAAATCAACTTTGGCTGGTTCGAAAACACCGACGGCAACGGCACCTTTGCGCCCGTCGTTGTCCTGGTTGAAAGCGAGTTGAGCCTCCCCACGTCGGTCGCGGTCATCGACTTGGATGCTGACGGCGACAACGACCTTCTTGTCACAGACACAACAGGCGGTGGCCAGCTAATAACCTTTACCAACAACGGCGGTGGCGTGTTTGGACCAGAGTCGATAACACTGGCCGACATCGTCGGCTTTGTTATCCCTGCGGACATCAACGCTGATGGCCTCCCCGACCTCGTCTCCGTCCGCAACCTCAACGACGGCAACGTCGGCTGGTTTCGCAACGACGGCAGCAACGGCACGGCGTGGACACAAGTCCTTGTTCAGTTCATGGCCGGTGCTGTCAATGGCATCACCGTCGCTGACTTTGATCGCGACGGCGACCGCGACATAGCTTGGATCATCAGCGAGGCCGAGAATTCGGACGACTTGGTCACCTTTTGGTCCGAGAACACCGACGGGCTTGGCACCTTTACCGCCCCAGCTGACATTCAAAACGGCGTCAATAACGTCAAAGACGTCTTTGCCGGCGACTTTGACAATGACGGCAATGTCGACCTCGCTTATGTCGGCAGTGAGCCGAGCCTTGTCGCCTGGCGCCCCAACATCAACGGCGTGGGCGATTTTGGCGAGGCTGTCGTCGTCGACGCCTCGGTCGCAGTGCCCCTCGCCATCATCGGCGGCAACATCAACGGCAAACCAGGTCTTGACCTTGTTGTTGGCATAGAACTGGGCGCTGCCATCGTCTGCTACACAAACTTGGATGCTGCCGGCCGCTCGTGGAACAAGACCATCATCGCCACCGGCATCGTCGATCCTCTTGCGATCGCCTTTGCCGACATCGACGCCGACGGCGATCTCGACGTTGTTGTCGGTGCCAACCAGCTCGGCTCTGTCACCTGGTTCGCGAACAGCGGCCTAGGCGCCTTTGCTGCAGTGAACTCCGCCATCTCGGTCGACGTCTTTGGTCTCACCGCGCTTGTCGTCGCCGACATCGACCTCGATGGCGCCGCAGACGTCATCACCACCGCAAACCATGCTGCGCCTGCTTTTGACGTCGTCGCCTGGCACCGCAACGTCGGCGGCGACGGTCTCACGTGGGCCACCGTCAACGTCACAACTCTGCTCAACAAGCCGTTCGATGTCGTTGCCTTTGATGCTGACGCTGACGGCGATCAAGACCTTGCTGTCGCTTCAATCAACGACCGAACTGTCTCACTCTTTCTCAACTCGGACAGTGCAGGCTCGTTCAGCAGTCGAGTTCTCATCGACGTCGGCGTCAGAGGATACCGCAGCATTGCTGCCATCGACATTGACGCTGACGGCGACCTTGACCTTGCTGCCGCCCAAGGCAGTGGCATAGTCAATGTCTTTCTCAACGCCGCCAATTCAGGCTCATTTGGCCCCGGCCAGGCGCTGACCAACATCGACGCGACCTTTGTCGCTATGACCACCGGAGACTTTGATGGAGACGGCCGCCAAGATGTGATGAGAGCTCACTACAATGGAGGTGTTTACTCGCACATCGAGTGGTTCTCGTCGCAACCATCCGTCACCAACACCTTGGAAAGCTTTGGCACCGCTAGCGAGTCGCTCACCATCGCCGGCTCGCCCAAGCCGCGACATGTCGTCCTCGCCGACCTCGACTCGGACGGTGACCTCGATCTGGTGTCGGTCTTTGACACAACTGTGGCTTGGTTTGAATACCTCGACGCCCGTGCCGGCTTTGACCCCGTCGCCAACGTGCTGGCATCCGTTGCCGCTGGCGCTGCTGCAGCCGTCGCAGACTTTGATCGCGACGGTGACCTCGACCTTGCCTGGGTCTCTGGCTCGGGCCTCTACTGGGCGCGCAACAATGGTGGCGACAGCTTGTTTGGCCTTCCCGTCAGCCTTGACACGTCCATTGTTCTTACAGACCTTGCCATCGGTGACATCGACCGTGACGGCGACTTGGATCTGGTTGTTGCTGGCCAGGACTACGCTGCGCTTTATCGCAACCTTGACGGCCTCGGCTCGTTTGGTCCTCCCACCGTGGTGGCCGGCTCTACTGGCACCGTCGCTGCTGTCCAGCTTGCGGATGTTGATAATGACGGCGCACTCGATCTGGTCGAGGCAAGCTTTTCCCGCAACGAAGTTGTGTGGTACCCTAACGACGGTTCAGGCTTCTTTGGCTTCCCGAAGCTGATTGCCTCGGTCACCGGCGTCTCTGCCCTTGAGCTGGCAGACTTGGACCAAGACGGCGACATTGATGTGGTGACCGGTGACAACGGCGGCGACAACTCCGTGATGGTCTTCGCTAACACGGATGGCTCCGGCGCTTTTGATCTCCTCCAAATCGTGGCCACCAACGTCATTACGGTTCAGTCCGTCCAAGCTGTGGATGTCGACGGTGACCGCGTTCTCGACCTACTGGTGGCCGCAAAGGATAGCAACTCGGTGCTTTGGTTCCGCAACATTGGGGCTGGTGGCGTCACGACGTTTGGCCCGACTCAATCGGTTTTGTACGGCGTAGCGTCCGACAACCCAGCATCGGCTGCCGGTGGCGACGTGGACGGTGACGGCGATCTCGACGTCATCGCGGCCATGGCGACTTTCCAGGTTGTTCTTCAGAAGACCCGAGTTGCGTTTCACACCTACCAGTCGACAACGCGTGAACTCGATACCCAGCTCTCGCTCTGCGTCTTCGACCCGTTCTCACTTGCATGTATCGAGGAGAACATGCAGCGACTTTCTAGCTGTGTCCGCGACACCTTGATCCTACCGCCGGGGCGCTACGCGCACGCGCGGCGTGGGCAGCATGCCTCGGTCACTCGCCCCATGGTGCTGGCGGCTCGCGAGCCGGGCTCAGTCGTGCTCGACGGCGCGCTGCCGGACCGCGCTCGTGGAGGCGTTTTCTTCCGCTCGCATCCGCACGAGCGCCAGTCGAACATGCCGCTGCAGGGCGCGCTGCGACTGGAGAATATCACTGTGTCCAACACTGGCATCGGGGTCTCATCCCCCTACGGCACGCCTGGCCTCAGAACTGATGGTCCAGGTGCCGTCTTGGAGCTCGTCAATGTTAACGTGACGGGCGCGATTGCAGACACAGAGCTCACAGCTACTCTGTTCAGCGCCGGTACAGGCGGCGCAATTCTTGCCACCGATGGCAGTGAGCTGCGACTCATCGCAACTCATGTTTATGGCTGCTCCGCCTCGCTGCAGGGTGGTGGCGTTGCGCTGCACGGTGCCGCTACCCGGGCGAGGTTCGAGCGTTCGGTTGTCGCCGGCTCGACAGCCGGTCTCGACGGCGGCGGCATCGCGATTCTGGGCGGTGCATCGCTCGAACTAGTCTCGACAGACATTCGTGATAACTCGGCTCGGACTGGATCGGGTGGCGGTTTATACGTTGCTTCTCTGGCGCAAGTCAACATGACGAGCTGCACTGTGTTTGGCAACGAAGCGCCCAAGGGCATTGGTGGCGGACTCTTGCTGCGGCCGGATGCCGACTCACAGTTGTACCTCTCGCAGATCCGCGGCAACCGCGCACGAGTCGGCGGTGGGATGGCTCTTGCGCTTGGCGGCTATGATGACGGTGTGCTCGTCGACGCTGTGCAGGACGTGGCGACCGTGGCATCTGTTGACGTGGTGGTGGGGCCGAAACTCATTCTTGACACCGTCGTGGTTGTGGCAAACGAGGCCTCGCTCGGTGGTGGAATGTACGCCTGTGGCGGTGATGTGACGATCCGCGGCTCAGGCGGCGAGTGGACCAACAACGCGGTGCGTTTGTCGCCAGTTGTAGACTCGGCTGCGGATGTGTTTGTCTGCGCAGTGGCTGGGACAATGCCAGGCAGCCCTCCGCCTTGGGTGCTGGTCGAGCCTGGAGCAGGTGGCCCAACTTCTGTGCATGGTCCGCCCGGCGCAGTGTTGTGGGAGATCAAGCCTGTGGCGACGGCACAGATTGGTCATTCTGTGGTGGGCACAGTCCGTCTTGTCGATGCTTTCGGGCAGAACGTAGCTTACGCAGGCGCGCTCGCAGAGCTGGTGGTGAGCGGGCCCGGGCTGTTAGCTGGCGTCGCAGAGGATATCCAGTTTATGCTCGACACTGTTCCACTGCCGTCGCTACAGTTGTGGGTGCGGGCAGACGTCCTGGTCGGCAGCGCCTTGCCTGATGTGGATATTCAGGTGGTCATGAGCTCTTCGTCTCCGGTCACTTCTCTCTCTCCGCCTGTGGCGGTTCAGGCGGTTACATCGCGAACAAGCCTCGTTCCGTGTGGACTCGGGTTTGGTCTTAACGAGCTCTCGGTCATGGTAGGTGCACAAGTCGTTGATGCGGTTGAGTGTATTGCGTGCCCAAGTGGGACGTTCTCGTCTACGGTTGCTCTCGAGCCATGCACGCCTAACCGCGGATGCAACGCCAACTCGATCAGCCTGGATGGCGGAAATGTCACCGATGGCGCGACCGGCCTCAAGTGCCTGTGCGATACCGGGTTTACAGCAAGGGGCTACGACAGCGATGGTCTCGTGCTGTGTGAGCGATGCCCTTCAGGCGGGCGGTGTGCCCGCGGGTTGGGTCCGCCTGTCCCTGCGCCTGGTTTCTACGCCGATCCGAAGAAGAACGACACGTTTGTCCAGTGCAAGCGGGTGAGGGGCTGCCCGGGCGGCTCGCTGCTGGTCCAGTGCGCAACCGGTTATCATGGGTATATGTGCAACGAGTGCGACGACGACTACTACTCCAACTCGATTGCAGAGTGCATCAAGTGTCCACCAGCGGCAATGGGTGGCTTTGTGGCTGGCGTGCTTGTCCTCCTTGGACTGGGCGCGGCAGCAGCTGTTCTTGTCAGCATCGGAGTGGTGCGGATGCAGTCGTCAGAGAGCCTGCATCGGGCGTCAATGGATGTGCTGCGGCAGCGAAGCCTGCCTGCGACTGTGGGGATGGTGGTGATGGTGTTCCAGATCATGGGCATTCTGTCGACCGGCAAGTATGGCTGGTCGGACGAGGCGCAGAGTGTACTTTCGGTCTTTAACGCGGCGAATGTGGACGTCAATCTCTTTGCATCGGAATGCTCGCTTGCATCGTTCCACACAAAGTACGTGGTCTCGATTGCGCTTCCGATTGTGGTCCTTGGTGCTGTCGTGGTCGGCCTCCTCGTCCTCAAGGGCATGGCGGGCGCTGGGATGGTGCCGTTTCGGCTGCGCGGGCTGGCCAGTGCGCGGATCAGGATCCTTGTTGACGCGGCGCTGTTTACAGTCACACCTGTACTGTACATTCCGATGGCGCGGGCGACACTGGTCATGTTTGACTGTGTCCAGCTGCCCAACGGCGACTTTGTGCTCGATGTGGACCCTGGAGTGGCATGCTTTGATTCTGGCTGGCTCGGCATTCTCCCTGTTGGCCTCGTGGGGCTTGTTTCGTTTGTATTCGGCTTTCCGCTCTACTTTCTGTTCTCGCTCGTCACGCGGCGAAGCAAGCTGCTGCAGCCTGCGACGTTTGTACGGTTTGGTGGCCTGTACAAGCTCTTCCGTGTCTCATACTACTGGGGGGGCATGGCCGATCTCGGCAAGCGTCTTGCGATTGTGCTGACGAGTGTTTTTCTCTCCGAAGTGCAGCTTGTGCAGCTCGGGCTGCTGATGGCGATCCTCCTCGTCTGGGTTTATCTGGTGGTCAAGACTCAACCGTACTACTTCCGGCTGTACAACGAGGCGGACGTGCGGCTGACGTACGTGATTGTGGTCATGGTCGGGGTTAGCAGCGCGAGCTATGCTGAGCGAGCCAATGACGGCGCGAGCCAGACGGGCATTCTGGTAGTACTGGTGCTGGCGGTCGTTGCGCTGTGTGCTTTGGCGGCGCACGCGATTGTGCGCGACGTCCTTCAAATCGTCTCTGACTCGTACTCGTCGTCTGGTGAGCGGGCTATGCAACTGTCGCTCATTCTCTCGCGCGAGCAGGATGACCTTGAGGGCGAGGTTGCCGAGGTGCTCGAGGGAACAAAAGTTCGGCTCTCGCTGGCCATCGACGAGGAAAAGGCGAACGAAACTATGGGGCTGGACGGCGTGGCACTCGACGAGCTGTAGCTTGCCTGGATTACACATAGTCTTCGCGAGAGTCCATCGAGTCAAAGGCGGCAAACATGGTAGCGAGCTTGTGGTCATCAAAGATGGAGTCGACCATGTTGATTCGGAGAAAGGCTTCGGGCGGCTCTTTGCGCATGTGGTACTCGCCTGCGTCGTCGCGGAAGACGTGATAGAGCTTGCCCGGCGGAACGAGGTCGATGCGAGCATCAAGGGCCGAGGTTTCGACATGAAACGGGTCGGGTTCGGCTACACCGACGGCGACTGAGGTCGGACGAAGCCACGCGGCGAGGGTCGACATAGTGGCAACCGACGCGTTCCAAACCGACGAGGAGGCTGCCACAAGCTGGGCCGGTGGCTGGATGTCGGGCAGAACGGCGGCGACTGAGGAGACGGCGGCAACCGGTGGAGCGAGCCACGGCGACGCCAACATGTCGGCCTTAGCCCGCTCCCACCACGGAAAGGCCTTGATCTCGCGACGCAGGTGTTCGAGGGCCGAGAGCGAGGCCCGCGGCACAATGTCGTTGTTGCACACAAACGAGGTGCACACTCCCGACAGGTCAAAGGCGATCGAGGTTGCCAGGTCAGCGCACGGAGGCGGGCCAAGTGCAAAGGCATGGACATGCTCGTCATGCGGGCGGAGTAGTGCAGCAAGGAGCGCGGCAGTCCCGCCACCGAGCGAGTGGCCAACGAGAGTGATGTGGCGGCGTGGATCGCCGACCAGCAGCTCAACGAGAGTAGCCAGCTCCGAGTGAAGGAACCAAAGCGCAGCACGATGCATTCCCGAGTGGACAAAGCCGCCGTCTTCAAACGGCACGCCGCATGCACAGCAGTCGGTGAGCAGGTCGAGGTTGTTGTCGGTCCCGCGAATGGCGAGGACGATCTCAAGACGGGTGTGGTCGACGGCAATAAAGTAGCCCGGGCGGAGCAGCGTCGACTTTGGTTCGAGCTTGATGAGCTCAAAGCCTGCAACGGCATCAACCGGCGAAGCTGCAGACTCGGGTGAAGTCGGAAGTCGCGACAACGCTAGCGGGGCCATCAGCTGGCGCCACTCGGCTGGCGAGCGAGCGTACGCGGCCTGAGCCAACAGTGCGTAATGCATGCCCACATCAATGAGCTCGCGGTGCAGAAAAGCACGATCTGTCGATGGCGGACGCCACTTTGCGGTGTTCTCTGCCTGGAGATACGAAAGGCCGACAGCGAGGTCGGTCAACGACCATTCGCCCAGCTCCGAGTAAGTAGCCAGCAGCAGCGACGCAACAGCCTTTGTGGACTCTGCCACGCCCAGCGAGGCCACCCATCGCAGCCAACCGCCTGCATCCGTCGACGACGACGACGTCGGCGGCACTGGAGCCGGCATTGGTGACGTATCAGTGTCACCGGCCATCGGCATCATGGTTGTTGTCGAATTCTCTAACATGTCCTGATCGACCGAGTTGTCCGTCTCGACCGAGTTGTCCGCCCGAACCGACTCGACGTCCTCCTTCGCCTTGCCCGAGCCCACCACCTCTGTCGATCCGCGTTGAGACTCTGCATTGTGGCCCATGGGCACGACGACTGTCGCCGCCGCCACATCACCTGGACGAGCCAGGCCCCCACCACCACCACCACCACCACCACCACCACCACCACCACCACCACCACCACCACCACCACCACCACCACCACCACCACCACCACCACCACCACCACCACCACCACCACCTGCGTCCACACTCCCTCGTTCAACACCTGGTTCTCTTCCCTCTCCTTCCATCCGTGGTGGGAATGCCTTCCCTGGCTCGGCGTGACGTGTCGTGTGTTGCTCGGCCGGACGAGCCGGCTCATCGCTCATGGCCCATCGCTCATCGCTCGCCTCCATGGCTTGCCGCTCATCGCTCGCCTGCATGGCTTGCCGCTCATCGCTCGCCTGCATGGCTTGCCGCTCATCGCTCGCCTGCATGGCTCAACGCTCATCGCTCGCCTGCATGGCTCAACGCTCATCGCTCGCCTGCATGGCCCATCGCTCATCGCTCGCCTGCATGGCTCAACGCTCATCGCTCGCCTGCATGGCTTGCCGCTCATCGCTCGCCTGCATGGCCCATCGCTCATCGCTCGCCTGCATGGCTTGCCGCTCATCGCTCGCCTGCATGGCTTGCCGCTCATCGCTCGCCTGCATGGCTTGCCGCTCATCGCTCGCCTGCATGGCCCATCGCTCATCGCTCACCTGCATGGCTCATCGCTCAATCGCTCGCTTGTATGGCTCAACGCTCATCGCTCGCCGGCATGGCACATCGCTCAATCGCTCATTGCCCACAGGTCACAGACTAAAAGAAGCTCGTCAAGAAGGGGGGGGGGGGTTCATTGAAGACTGCCTTCCTCATCATCGTCTTCTTCGTCGTCATACTCATACTCGTCATCATCAGCGGGGAGAAGATGGGCGTAATCGATGCCGTTGTCGTCGAGAAGAGCCTTGAAGGCCGTAATCTGCATCTCCATCTCACCAAGGAAGACAAGGAGCTCCTCGTGCTGGGTGTTGAGGTCGGCATGCTCGTCGGCAAGCTGTGCCGCTTGGCTCTGAGCCTCCTGCAGCTCAGCCGCGAGTCGTGAGGCATCACCGGTCGGCGTCGACGCTGCCGATGCCGATGACACGTCCTGGATCTCGCGACGGAGTGAGGCGTTCTCGGCGCGAAGTCGCTCAAGCTCGCGCGGATCAACCTGCGGAATTCCGGTCTTGGCGGCCATCGCCTGCGACTTGAGCTCATGGACCTGCTCGCGGAGCTCGAGGTTTTCGCGCTCGAGAGACTCCAGCATGGCAGGCGGGACAGCCGGAGGCGCGACCGGCGGCGGCGCGGCGGCGGCAGTAGCTTCGAGCTCGGCGACCCGCGCCTCGAGCTTGGCGTTGTCGTTCTTGAGCGATGCGTTGGCCGACCGCAGCGAGGCGAGCTGGTGCTTGGCCTGCGCCAGCGCGCGTGTGTCCGGGTGCGGACCAGCAGCGGCGGCGGATGGGCGGCCCGAGACGAGGGCCGCATCGAGGGCAGTAACCGTCGACTTGCAGAAGCGAGCAAAGGCGTAGTCGAAGAAGACCAGCTTGTGGACGTCGTCGGCGTCAGCGCTGTGCATGACCGGGACTCGGGCCTGCTCGGTGGCCTTGAGCTGAACCGAGTTGAGAAGCTCATCTAGAACGCCAAAGTAGGCCTCGACGCCAATGCGGTTGCGGAGGAGAACGACGATGGCACCGGCGTCGAGCGCGTGCGAGTCCTCGCCCGCGCTGGAGGCAGGACCGTGGAGAACAAACTGGCCGAGGAGGAGCGCGCAGAGCGCGCGTCGCAGTAGCGGGCCCGAGGTGAGAATGACGGTCTCGACGAGTGCAGGCACCAGGGTGGCGTGCTGGACCAGGGCCTCGAGTGTCGCCGGCGACGACGACGACCACACATTGAGGAGCGAGAGGAGGGCAGCTTGCGGGCGCACGACGTCGGGCTCCTCACTCGGGTCGTGGATGGAGCTCAGGACGGCATCAACAACAAGGTCCAGGAGGTGGACGGGCTCGGCGGCAGCGGCCGGCATCTCGAGCGGGAGATGGAGGACGAGCTGCTTGCACTCGGCGTTGTTGTAGAACATGTGTGAAAGGACCACCGCCGCGAACCAGGGCGCGAACGACGGGCCGCCCGAGTGGGATCCAGGCATGACCGGCATCTGCCCGCCAAGCGCCAGCGAGACCTCCTCCAGCAAGTTGCCACCGTGCGTGAGACCAGCGTCTGCGCCAGCGCCAGATCCGGACCCACCGCCGGCTGCGTCGCCGGCGAGCAGCGAGGCAACAAGGAGGCGGCCAACCGAGCCAACACCGACCGGCGAGTTGGCCCCGCCTTCCAGCTCCTCCGGCGAAGGCGCCAGTGTCGACGCCAGCGCCATCTGGCCCTCGGCGTTGCCCTCAAGAAACGAGATGACGGCGCAGGCGGCTGAGGCGCGCTCCTCGTACGCGGCGGCGTTGAGAACAACGGTGATGAGGTGGGCGAGCGAGGAAGTCTTCCACACTGCTGGGTCGGCGTGCCGGGAAAAGTTGCCGGCCGGAACACCGAGAGTCATGAACGCCCGCTGGTGCTCGTCAGAGCCGGCGAGCATGTCCCCGACAGTACGGAGCGCGCGGGCGCGGAGGCTGGGGGCGCGGACCCGCTCGGCTGACAGATTCCAAGCGAGCTTCAAGAATCCGAGCTGGCCAGCGGCAGCCTGGTTGGCCCGGGCAGCCGGCGACGAGCCACTCACCAAGATAGAGAGCAGATCAAGGCCGAGGACATAGTTTGTGCAGGCACCGTCGGAGAGCCCACGCAGCTCGTCAGGATCGACCTGCAGCAGCGGGACAAGATACTCAAAGCACGAAGTCTCGCGGAAGAACAGCTGGTTGGAGGCGTTGCCGTCGAGCAGGTTGCGGAGGACGGCGAGTGCGTCGGCGACGACAATGTTCCCGTCGGCGTAGCCCTCGTTGCCGATGATGGTGAAGAGACGCTGGAAAGCAGACTCAAAGGCGATCACCTTTTGCACCTCCTGGTTGCCATGAGTCAGCTCGAGAAGGAGAAGCAGGCCCTCGTTGCGCAGCATCTCGCGCGACTCGTCGAGCGTGTCCATGATCTTGGCAATCCCATGCGGAGCCATGAGAACCTTGCCCTGAACCACGCCAGTCTTGACCTTGAGCAGAGCGGTGAGAAGGCGAAGAGCGTAGAAGCGCACGTAAAAGTCGTCGGCGCCGACCAGGCCAAGCAGCGTTTCCACGTTGCCGTCCTCGTCGACGACCAGCGAGGCGTTAAAGCCGGCCGGCGAGTGATTAAACGCGTGGTTGCTCTCGCCATCCGAGGGCGAGACCATGACAGCGAGCAAGCCAAGAGCAGCTCGAGCAGCTTCAGCATGTAGCGGAGCAGAAGCAAGCGTATGCATGGCATGATCAATGACTCTCATGCCAATCTCCGCTTTGCTCGCCGGCGCCATGGAGACATGTTTCTGGACTTCAGAATAGACTTTGGCCAGCTCTTCCCCGACCAGTCCACCACTACTGCCATTTTCACCGTCACCAGTACCAACGTGCCCGTCACCACCACCACCACCACCGCCACCATCTTCAGCAAGCATAGCCAGCAGCACTTCCAACTCCCTCAGGCCACCGCCAGCACCACCAAGACCACGACCACGACCACTCCCAGCCTGACCACCCTTACCCATCATGGCATCCTTCATGAACCCAGGAAGGAACGACATGTTCTCTTCTCTCTGCTCGCACTCTTGGTCACTGTCTCTCTCTCCTATACTGTTCTCTGGAAGTAGGTCGTCGTCGAGTTAGTCGGGTGTCTCCAGCCCCCGTCCCCAGCCCCCCCCCCCCCCCCTCCCCCTGTCACCTTGCCAGCTCAACCATTGCCTCGGCGGCGGAATGCCACTGGCGCCAGTTTTTTGACCAAACAATTGCCGCCACGGCTGAGAGTCGCTAGCACTCGCAAGCACTCGCAACCGGCACCTTCACCTTACTTCGATAAGAACTTCGACAGCATCGACACAATCAGCTTCACAGGAGCGGAAACTCAGCCATCTCTCTCTAGGATGACGATCTAGGTCGACGACGACGGTGACGCCCAGATACTACCCTTGATCCCACGTCAACGCGAGCGGACGGGAGCAGCTCAAGTACACCCGCGTCACCATGCCGATCGGCTCGGCCGTCAGCTGAGAGTGTCTTGCATTTCACACAAAGCGGCTTGATGGCAGCTCAGAGCTCGCTTGGACGATGGAGCATCACTGGTGATAGGCAGTACCGCATGGCGACTAGCACGCACCATTGCTCATTGTGGAAGCGATCAGATGGAGGGATTCACTCGGTCGTGGGAGGAGAGGCAGGCTTGGCTGCTTGCTCGACGGTGGCGGCGATGGTGGTGGGGACGGGCTCACCACGGAGCTGGGCCATGTGCTGGACAAACCACGAGGGCATGGCACCGGGCGGGAGGGTGCGATCGCCATCGTCGTCGCCGAGGCCAAAACGCTCGCAGGCGAAATCAACGAGGGCGAGCCAGCGGTACATGCAGAGGGAGTCGACAACTTCGTTCTGAACAATGGTCGGGTAGATGCGGTCGGCAATAAAGGCCTCCTGCTTGTCAGCAAAGGCATCCCAGAGGAGCATCTCTTCCGGCGAGTTCTTGTTCAAGTTGTATCCGTCGTACTCACAGCGGTAGAGGAAAAGGCCGTTGCCCGGCACCCGCGGGACGCGAACAACCGAGTCGGCAAAAGCGCGCTCGAAGAAAGCGACCAGGTTGTAGTCGGCAACCGAACCGCCGTGGCGGACAATCATGACCACAAAGCCGATCATCTTTCGGATCATGTGCAACAGGAACGAGTCGCCGTGGACGCAGAGCCGCACAACCTCGAGGCCTGCAGTGACAAACGGGTCCGAGACGGTAAAGTCGCGGATGTGCCGCTGCGATTGCGGGTCCGAGTACCGCTTGCCCGAGGTAAAGTTGTGGTACTTGCGGGTTCCGACATAACGCTGGAAGAGCTCGCGCGCCTTGGCAATCGGCTCGTCGCCGATACGAAAGTCGACCAGCGCCTGCGGCAGCTGCTGGATCTGCTCCTCGGCCTTCACGCCCTTGACCGCCTTGATGGCAGCAATGACCTCGTCCGCAGACGCCGGAGAGGCGGGCGCCGGGGCAAGCTCGTCCGAATCGAGCCGGAAGCGGCGGAAGAGCTCGGGCGCGAGCGCAAAGGTCGGCAGCAAGTACTCATACCGCCGCGAGCCGCACGAGTGGCGAGCGTTGAACTTCTTGGTCACCCGCTGCCCGCCAAACACGCTGACATCCTCGGGTAGGACGTCGTTGATGCGGTCGACGAGGGTGTCGATGCCGCCCTCGGACGGCACCTCGAGCTTGGCGGCCACAATCATGCCCGCAGCATGAACTCCCTTGTCAGTCCGACCTGCGCGGCTTAGCGAGATCTTTGTGGCCGAGAGCGCGTTGTCGTTAGAGACAGCGCCGGCCTTGACAAAGGCCATCATCAGCTCACGCTCGACCGTAGGCAGATTGCTATTGATCTGCATGCCAAAGTACTTTGTCCCGTTAAAGCCAAGGAACAGCGCCAACTTTCGCTTGGGCTCTTTGACATACCACTCTGGGTTCACCACATCAGCCGGAATGTCCACTTCCACCGACCGACGCTTTGCCCGCTTAGCATCGTTCCAACCCCTCTCCCGATCGCTGGACGCACTCCGCCTCCTCTTCCCGCTTGCGCCACCTTGTTCCGTCTGTACCACCTCGCTCACTTCTTCCTGCCCTTCAATCTTCATCTCGGTCACCTCGGTCGCCGTTCCCGTCGTTGTTGCTGCCGTCGTCGTCGTCGTCGTCGTCGTCGTCGTCGTCGTCGTCGTCGTCGTCGCTGCTGTCGCCATCGTTGTCGAGGCTGTCTTCATCCCACTAGCTGCTACAGCTCCTGTAGTGGCAGCCATCGCTCTCCGTGTTGTCGCCCGGAGTGCTGGGATCATTCACAGTCGAGTGTGACACACTCCTCTCCCTTGTCTATCTCCGCACCGACGGCTGTATGCGCTGCTCTGTGGCTTGATCCGTGGGATGACCCAGCGGGTGATCGATCGGATGCCCGTTCTGAGATGGATGGAGGGACGGCATCGATCACGATGGAAGACACGGCGATGAAGAGGAGAGCGGGAAGAGGGAATGTAGTGGGTGTGTAGGGGGGGGGGGGGGGAGTGAGATGGTTGAAGAGAGGTGACTTGTGAGAGATCAATCGAATAATGTGGGTGCTGGATGCCTGTCCGGAGATGAATGGCGTTGATCACGGTGGCACGGCGATGGAGAGGAGAGCGGATTGGGTGGGGAGGGGGGGGGGGGGAGGGGGAGGGAGTGAGATGGTTGAAGAGAGTTGATGTGCGCCTCTAGTGATCAAGACCATGGCGTGTGTGTAAATCAGTTTAATGATGTAGACTGGAGGATCCACAGACGAGCCGAACATCAAACAAAGCCACCGACCGTAGGAAGCGACTTTCCGGGCCCGACTAAGCACAAACTTACTCGTGAGCCTCCTCATGCGCATAAAGTGCTTGGACTTGGGGATCAAGACCATGACTTCAATCACACTTGCCGTCAACTATGTGTATAAATGGATGATCAGTGAATTTGGCACACGCTCACCGCCATCTCCCCGACAAACCATCATCGCATCTGTGTGGTGTCACAAGGCCATTTGAGGAAGATACCACGCAGGAATACGCGTTGCCTGACAGGGATCACCCATACGGTAAGTATTGGCACGAGGCTCACGTGATCGCGGGTGTTTGTTTGAGGAAGCTCGGTTCCAATCTCTCTCCTCCACGATAAAACCAGAGCCAAAACTGGAGCAAGATGCCAATGCAGCTGGCGAGGGTCAGCTATTACGCTAACGAGATCGATGTGGGGAACTCAAGCAGCAGTTCCGCGGACTACGAATTCGGGTCAGAAGGTACAGATGCAGACGCAGACGATGTCGCAGGCGGAGATCGACTACCAGGATGAGCTCATTCGGGAGCGGGCGGCCGAGATCGAGGCCATTGCCCAGTCATTGGAAGACATTGCCATCATCAACCAAGATCTGGCGATGCTGGTGGCCGAGCAGAGCCCGATGCTCGACAATATCGAGGCCAACATCGAGCAAGCGACCGAGTATACCGCAACTGCGGTGGAGGAGCTGCAGTCGGCAGACCGGAGCGCCCGAAAACGGCGGTCGCGGCTGATTAAGTTCTACTCTGGCCTTGCCGTGCTTGGAGCCGGCCTGGCGTTTGTTTTTCGTCGGCGATTCTGAGGTAGATGCGCGTTCATTGTGTCTTGGCGGCTGCTCAAGTAAGTGGGACGGCGTGCCGCGGGCGGCGTGACGGCGAGTGCGGCGGGGCTGTACCCTGTGGACGCGAATGCGGATGCGGATGCGGCGGATACGCCGGCGCATACTGCGGCGAGTGCGGCGGGGGCAGGTGCGGCATGGGATGAACACGCCTATGCGGCGAGTGCGGCGAGTGCGGCGAGTACGGCATGGCGCGCAGAGCTGACGGCGAGCTGTGCGGCGAGGCCATCACTGGATGTGGTGAGTGCGGTTGCGGGCGGCGGACATGCGGGACCGGCGAGCGAGCTGCCGCAGCCGACGAGAGCACCGCAGCCGGGTCAAAGCCCTGGGTCCGGAGGCACTCTTGCCACTGCTCAGCCAGAGCCCGAAGCTGGGCAATCTGCGACCGGCGCTGGGCAAGAACGTTGAGCTTGTGCGCCAGACGGGCCTGCATCTGCTCAGCCGCAAGGCTGCGAGTATGCAAGTTCCTCAGCCGAGCCTGCACAGAGGCTGCCGTCGGCGTCAGGTCGCGGAGCCGGACAGAGCTGTTCGCCGCCGACATCTCGAACATCATCACGTTGTCGCGGAGAAAGTTGACGAGGCCATCAAGTGTGAGCGCAGCATCCGGCAGATTGGTAAGAATTAGGTCGTGGAGCCGGGTAAACGAGCACTCTCCGGCCTCGGTGAGGAGCGCAAAGACCGTGTTCTTCAGCTCAAAGAAGCCGAGCATCCGTCGCTCGACAGCCTTGTCGGTCTCGACTCCAGTCTCGGCCTCGGTGTCAACCTTGGCCTTGGCGTCGACCTTGACCGCAGCAGCAGTTTGAACATCCTCCTTGGTCGGCGCCAAGCCCGTCATGCTGCCAAGGACCTGCTTGGCGGCCAGCGATGCCAGGCGCGCCTCCTTTTGTCGCTTGAACCGTGTGATCTCGGCGGCAAACACCTCGGCCTCGGCCGCCGCCATCTGCAGTGGCGAACCGTGCGGGCTTTGGTCGCTGGCCGCAGACCGCGACGACGGAGATGCTCCCGGCTGGCCGTCCTCGCCGTCGGCCAGCAGCAACGAAATCGCTCTTTCCCTCCTCTTCCGCCGCCCCCCACCAGCCCCACCGGCCTTGGGCGTAGTTGGACTGTCTGCAGAAGCCATGCCTGCACCGCCACTAGCAGCAGTAGGAGCCCGAGCCGGAGACTTGGTCCCCTTTGATCGCGATCGTCTCGACTTGTTCTTGTTGTTCCCCTTGCCTCCCTTGCTGACGTTGGTCTTCGACCCAGACTTGATCTTCTTCTGCTTCGCAGCGCTCTTTCCCACATCGCCCGGCTTTCCCATCGCCTTTCCTGCCTTTCCCGCTCCAGGCGACTCGTGCGGCCTACCCATCACCCCATCGCCACTTCCACCACTTCCACCTGCAGAACGAGCCGGGCCAGTTGGCTTTGTCGTACGAGGCGAGATCGATGAGCTGACGGCTGCATTCCCACCAGCAGCAAGATCAGCACCACCACTACCACCAACACTCGCAGCAGCAAGACCACCAGCAGCAGGACTACCACGACCACGACCGCCACGACCACCACGACCGCCACCGCCACGACCACGACCCCGACCACGACCACGACGACCACCACCATAGCCACTCTGTCGTGCCTTCCTTCCTCCGCTTCTCCTACTACGCTTCTTCGACATACTTGCAAACACTCTCAGTCGAGTGGTGGTGGTAGTCTCCCTCGTCTACCTCGCTACCTTCCAATTCGACTCCCTCCGTCTCGCAGGTGGCGGCCACCGAAGGCTGCGGCGACTTCCTCCGCGCCGACCCGACAGACACCGCTACTCGACGACGATGGAACTTTTACGCGCCAAAAAAATGGCGGGAAAGTTCCAATCGCTGCCAGAGTGACCAATCGCTGCCACGCTGTTGCGGCTGTTTGACGTCGAGTTGAGCGGGACGATGGCCATGGACATGGTCGCATCAGAATCGCTGATGTTTGACACGTAGTCGATATGGGGCTTTGGACATGATGCTGAGCGTTGTCGCATGGTCAACGCCATGAGAGATGCAGACGGCAACTCTAGTCGGCTGACGCTGACAATCGATAAGGTCCGGAGATGGGAATGATGCAAAACAGCAAAGCATGTGACGTATGAGTAGAGAGACAAGGTGGTGTGTGTCTGATGGAGGCGGGAGATGCGCAAGTATGAAGCCAGCCAGCCCAGCCCAGCCACATACTTGCCGGGCCATGAAATCTCGGAGATTTCGTCGCTATCGACGGGATCTCTCGGCTATGGCTGATTCAATGACGTCGTGCGTAGCGACCGCCACTGCACACATTAATCGTAACGACCACCACCTGTGGTAATGATCTTCCCAAGCCCCTGATCACACCCATGACCACCTTGATCATCCAACGATGATGATCGTTTGACAAGCGGCATTGATTGGCAGCAAACCGGCGCAGACGCAGACGGCGACACGTCACTCGCTGTGTGAGCAAGGAGCGATGCTGAAGCATGGGCGTCCGCGCAATGCGAGTGAGTGCTTGAAGTATGCCGAAGTTGCGGTGCGAAGGTCATGGAGAGTCCGTGTTGTGGTGTATGGCTTGGCTCTGGTCTCTGCTGTGGCCCTGGTGTGCATGGTGTATGTGAGCTCGCTCAACAGCCAGTCGCTGCTGCTGGAGATGGCTGAGTGCAACGAGCGCATTCTCTCGGCCCACAACATCACCACATGGCTGGATGGTGGTCCTTTGCTTGGAGCTATTCGCCATGGTGACTTTCTGCCCAATGATGACTCGGGCGACTTTGATATCGGCATGGTCGAGGATGATGTGCCCAAGATGTTTGCCCTTCGTGAGACCATCAGAGCTCGTTGTGGCTGGCTCATCCATCGCTCCGAGACCAACTGGTGGCCCGGCGTGCTGGACACACTCTTCCACATTCATCGAGCCGCTTTTCGTCAGTTTGCTGGCAAGTGGACCCCCGTCTTTCTCGACTACAAGGACTATGAGGACGACGGCCGCGGGAACCTCGTCGATCTGCACTTTGTCGGCTCCGAGGATGCTGTTGGCTTTCCGCGCGACGCCATCTTCCCGCTGTGGGACTGTCCCTTTGGCCACACCACGTTCAAGTGCCCCAACGACGCTGAGCTCGTTCTTCGTCGCACCTACGGCGACGATTGGTGCATCCCGTCGTCCACCCACACGTCTGAGCTATCCGAGACCCAGCGTGGTGTCGCCTTTCACGAGCAGGCCTACCGCGACTTTCTCAACATCCCCCCCCCTCCGCCACGCCAACTCCGCCTTGCGCCCGCCATCACCACGCCGTGCCCCACCCGCGAGGATCGCCTCGCCCAGGGTCTTGCTGCTGCTGCCGCCGCCGCTGCCTCGTCGTCATCGTCGTCATCGTCATCGTTATCCTCATCCACCAACCCGTAGACTGTCGCTGAGTCCATCGAACTAGCTACCTGCTAAAAGACTTGACCATCGCTGTCCTTGCTGCCATCGCGTGAGGTTGTAGAATGGGGAAGACTTGCTCAGACGAGCCCTTTGCCGCACCGGGCTTCGTCGAAGGTTCGTTCGTGTTCGAAGCTATCAGGTCGATCGACTCTGCCGTCGACAGCACACGTCACCAACATCACACTCGACTCGGGCAAGTGGCGACTATGACGTCTGCTATGACGATTGAAGTCCTTCCTCAAGCAGTTTACGTAGGGATGATTCCCACAACACACATTTCTGTCGCTTCTCATGCGCTTACCCGTCTCCTTCTCCGTGCACGTCCCCATCCGTATGTTTGCAAGGGATGTCCCCAGTTCTACTGCATTTGCCTCGGCTCGCCCGAGCATAGCTACCCCCATCCATAGAGAGCAATTACTGTAGTCCCATCAGTATGCTACATAGTTGGCAATCACACTGCTTTTGTCGATATGATGGTCAGATGTGGTATTCAATCTTACTTACTCTTGGTGGATGTCTATGTATGTGTCTGCTGGCCCCGCTCTCCTCGACTCGCTTGTCGGCCTCGCTGTTCTTGACCACGTCATCCTCCTGTCATCGACGATGTAATCCCGCGCTCTCGTCATCGGATGATGTGATCTGCGGTTTGATGGCTCTACTGGATTGTTGTGGTATGATGGACTCGTTGGCCACGTGTTGGGATGCTCGCTCTCGATCGGACGCGTGGTGGTGGTGTTGGGGCGTGGCATGGCTTTTGGTGTGGCTCGGATCGACAGCTCGCGGGTGGTGTGCATGACAAGGACAAGCGCGCATGATGGTCTCTCGCTGGTCCTGGATGAGGTTTCTGCGGTGGAGCTGCAGACCAAGTCGCCGACTGCGGCTGCGGTTGTGGCTCTGGATCCGTGTTCCTGGCGGCTGCTCGCCATCTCCGAGGGCTCGATGGGCGGCAACGTGTGTCTGTCTGTGGCCTCGATCTCGGCAGTGCTTGCAGGAGCAGGCATCTCCATCATGGTGCTCTCGTCGTACTCGGGCGAGTACCTGTTGTTTCCGTCCGAGACCCAGGACGCGGTCATTGCCGCCATCGACGAGTCTGACTTGGGCGCAACGCTGCACATCCTTCCTGCGCACACTGTGAGTGGAGAGGCACTGGCAGTGCTGGCGGGTCTGGACATGGGGGCGTTTGCTGCTCCGGAAGCGTTCTCCGACACTGTGTCGGGCCGCTCGCCGGACCGGTCGTCGCCGCGGGAGAGCCTCGGCCATGCGCACACGCTCACGTTTGACACATTGACCATGGCGCGGATCGGCGGCATTGCGTCGTCGTCTCTGCCGGTCATCCTTGCTCCGCTGCTGGATCTCTTTCTCTTTGCTGATGCCAGTAGCGACCGCCCGGTCCTCCTCTCGATGTTTGATGTTGGTGGCGAGGTCTCGATTCTGGCCGACACCGAGTCTGCTAGCGAGCTCGAGGCTGCAGTGGAGGCTGCAGTTGGGGACAAGCGCGCCAGGGTAGTCCTCCGCATGTGGCGGGGCTCCTGGACGCCGATCCGCGTCGCCGAGACACTTGATCTGGTCGAGACCGGAGTGGTGGCCTCGCTCGCCGGCCCGCTTGCTGACGCCGGCATCCACGCCATGTTCTACCACTCGACCTTTTTCACCGACTACACCATTGTGCGGCATGACGACATTGCAACTGCCAAGACTGTCCTCTCGGCCCGCCATCACATCCCAGAGTAAAGCCACAGATCGATCCCCAACCGGCTCACGCACGATCGCTCCAAGTGGCTGCTGACGATAGGCATGCATCTCTCGCATGGCCAAGCACATCCATCTTCTCCGCCAGCCACAGTCTTGGCGATCATTGGATGATGGAGCTGTCTGCAGTGTTCATTGGCGACTTTGTAGCCAACTCGAATGGATGGCCACCAATCGGTCCGGTCAGTCTACAGCGAGCAACGGTCGAGCGGTACAGTTTGAGCGGTTTGCGGCAGCGACGGCGGCAGGTTCGACCACTCGTCGTTTGCCGCAGCGGTCATGGGGAACACCTTCAAGACGCCTTCCAAGGGCGAGCTTAAGCGACTGACTACGCGCAGTGCATGTACGTAATACCATGAAGAACAAGAGCATATTCATCATCATACTTTAGTGTGTGGCATTGAGAGTGAGAAAGTGTGTTGGTCCCCGTGGCTGCAGTGGGGGCTTTTGGTGTGTGGGTGTGGGTGTGTGGGGCGGGTGGGGCGAGTGGTGGTTTGGTCACCCTAGTCATGGTCATGTCTACCACAGCAAAGTGGTCACATGTTGAGTTCAGTGATAATGGCATGTACTTGCTCTGGTGAATGTGCAGACTCTGGTTTGGTGGGTGGCTGGGTGGTGGGTGTAGGTGGAGAAGAAGTACGGAGGAAAAAGGTGTCTGGCCAGAGAGACCGTTTGCGTAGGCGCAAACGAGCCGTGGCGGCTTTTTCCCTTTGTCGTTGGTCATATATATATATATATATATATCGATGTTGGAGGTCTCGTCATGGGTCGATGGCGATGATAGTGCTGCTGCTGGTGATGGTGATAATGGCGATGGAAGTGTGGGAGGGTGACTGACGAGTTGGTGTTGTTGTGTGGGCACGGTGACAGGCAACCGGAAGAACCTTGTGCAGGTGAAGGAGATGCTGAAGAAGGTGCAGAAGAAGCACGGCGGGGTGGACAAGGAGGCATGGACTCGGGCGTGGGCCGAGGCAGACGGATCGTTTGATGGCGAGTGGGTGGACCAGTTTTTCAAGGTGATGGACGTGCACGACACAGAGTGGCTCGACTACAAAGAGTATGCCGTGTTCACGGCACTGACGGCGTTCCCCAACGCTGCGTTTATGGTCGACTACTGCTTCCGGGCCTTTGATCGCTCGGGTGACGGCACGCTTGACGAGGCCGAGCTGGGCGAGCTGATGAAGGCGGTGGTCCGGACGGCCAAGCGTCTGCAGTTTGCGCTGCCGGGCTTCAAGGGCAAGCTTGTCAAGCTTGAAGAGTCTGATGAGTCTGAGGAGTCTGACGACGAGTCGGGAGGCACGGGCAAGGGCAAGGGCAAGGGCAAGGCGAAGAAGGGCAAGAAGAAGAAGAAAAAGGGCAAGAAGAAGAAGGGTGTGCCCGACTTTAACCTCACGCTCAAGGAGGAGGCGCGCATCGAGTCGACGGCCGAGACGCTCTTTGTCGAGCTCGACACCGACCAGGACGGAGCGGTTGACTACAAGGAGTTTGCGGCGGGCAAGGACATGTCGCCGTCGGTCCGGCGCGCCGTCGCCTTCTTTATGACTATTGCCACCGCCATGCCCCAGGTCTCCGAGTCGGATGATAACGAGTCGGCGGACGATGACGGCAGTGATGCCAAGGGCGGCAAGAGCAAGGGTAAGGGCAAGAAGGGCAAGGGCAAGAAGGGCAAGAAGAGCAAGGGCAAGAAGAGCAAGGGCAAGGGCAAGAAGAGCAAGGGCAAGAAGAGCAAGGCCAGCGCTCCGAGCGGCGACGATGTTGACGGTGCCGGTGCAGAATCTGGCTCTGGCTCTGGCTCTGGCTCTGGCTCTGGCTCTGGTGGCAAGGCCAAGAGCAAGAAGAAGAAGGTCAAGAAGCGGACCAAGAAGCGGACGGTGGTGACCAAGACCGAGGTTGTCGAGTCTGGTGACGGGTCTGGCGACGGATCCGATTCTGGCGCGGGCAAGAAGAAGAAGAAAAAGACCAAGAAGACCAAGAAGCGGGTCAAGAAGACGACCAAGGACAAGAGCGGCGAGGCTGGCTCGGGCTCGGGCTCGGGCTCGGGTTCGGGGACGACGACTAAGCGTCGCAAGCGGACCAAGAAGAAGCGGGTCAAGGTAAGCAAGGAGATCGACGATGACGGGACTGTGACCAAGAAGAAGCGCAGGAAGTCGGTCAAGAAGCGGCGCAAGGTGTCCAAGTGAAGCGCAGCGGACGAATAACACAGTGTCGAGCTGAGCTGATGCCAGATAGAGAAAGGCGGCTGGCGTTTACGGCGCCGGGGCAGGCGAGGTGGTGATCCAGGAGCCGACGGCCTCGGTGCCGCCGACGAGTGCACCGTCGACCCAGAACTGCGGAAAGGTGGCAAGGCCCGAGTAGGCTTTGAGCCGGTGGCGGACATCCCACGAAGAGAGGATGTCAAAGGAGGCGTAGTCGATACCGGCGTCGGCGAGAGCGGTGACGCACTTGCGCGAGAACTTGCACCGCGGGCGGTCGGGCGTGCCCTTCATGAACAGCATCCGCGGCGCCGAGGCAATGACGGCGGCGATGTCGCCGTCGATCCGGGCCTGGCGTTCGAGCTCGGCGGCCTCCACGGCAGCGACGGCATCGTCCACGGAAAGCGCCGACCACGACTCGAGAGACCGCGGCTTGCCGCCGACAAAGACGGCGTCAGCGAGGCCAAGGCCCGGTGGGAGCAATTCGACGACGGCGGCCGCCTCGTGCGAGTCGGGCGCCACTGTGTGGACATGGGCGTCCGCGATGATTGCCACGGCTGACGAGAGCCCATCAGCAAAGACGACAACGGCATGGGTGGCCAGCGACTTGGCAACGGCACTCGCGGCATCAGCCTTGGCCTTGGCCTCATCGACCACGGCCTCTGCGCCCGGATACGGCGGCGGAGCCGGATCGGCGGAGCCGCAGCCGCCTCCCGATCCGCCAGCAGCAGCACACGCACATCCACCACCACTGCTTCCACCGCAGCATCCCCCGGCAGCGGCAGCACTCTTCGTCACGCCAGCAGCCAGCAGCTGCTTCGCCTCTGCGAGCATGGGGGCGACGATGGCGACGCCCATGGCATTCCCCGCCTCTTCGGCAAGATCCGAGGCACGCTGGAGAGCAGCAACAGCCAGCTCCAAATCTGACCCGGAACTCCGAAGAAGGGAAAAGCCCAAACCCGAGAGGACCATGCCCTCCTGGACCTGATCGCCAGCAGCACGAGCAGTGACGAGCGCAGCGGCAAAGGTATCCAGAGCGTGCTGACGTTCTTGGGGACCGGCCGCCCACTGAGAGTTTGCCACTGCGACCAGACTTGCCACCAGCATTGATCCATCTTTTGTTGACAGTCTCACCGAAGCAGAATTACCACCATCATCATTCGTCATGGCCATACCCATGGCCCCCGAGCTAGTCATAGTGAGGAGCTCCATGGTCAGGTCAGGGACAAGGATGTTGTGCGCAACAAGGCAGTCTGTGAGGCATTGGTATGCTTGTTGGCTCTCGTTCTTGGACACAAGCTCCTTGGCCCGGCTACTTGCTTCGCTAATGTTTGTGCTCATGATGTGAGTCGCGTGTGATGGGGTGTTGGGATGTATATGTGTGGGTGTGAGAGGGGGGTGGGAGGTGGTGGGGGTTGTGTGGTCAGTTGGTTGGTTGGCCAGCCGGTCGCGCTCTAGTCCCACCCCCCACTCCCCCCCC